TGCAATTGGCAATATGAGCTTTGGTGCTCTGTGTTTCCTCCCTTGGTCTTGTCTGAAGTCAGAAATACCATAAAGGATCACACTTGGAAGGTTTTAATTTTTCTCTTGAGTCATGGGCATCTTCACAATCCAGCTGTCACATAAGCCCAGAATTTGTTACATGCGTGTGAGAGGGGAAAAAAAGCTCCCTGGAGTTGATGTCCCATGAGAGAGGAAGGAACTCAGCAGAAACATGAGAAGAACCGATTCTCTAAGAACATCAACTCTCAGTGGTGTTAGAGCTGTGGGGAAATCAGAACCCTTCACAACGGCCCTGGAAGAGCAAGCGTCTGAGCGAGGTTGGAGCCTCTAGAGCAGGACGCCAGCACATGGGGCCAGAGCCTTGTCTCGTCTTCCTTTCCATGTGGCTCTTGGGTCCCTGATTTAGAATTTATAGCTACTTATCTCAACGCATCTGAGAAGGAGGCAGTTATGCAGTTGCTATGGGAAGTTAAGGGCATTCAGGAAGCTCCCACACTCTTAAATGAAAACACACAAATAACACTCATTTTTGTATAAATAAAACTGTCATTCTTTCCCAGTAGATAATGATGTAAAAGACATCAATATGATTTAGAAGGCTGGCTCACTGAGTGCTCACATGCCCTTTCCCTAGGAGCACAGAATACGAGTTTTGGAGTCTGGATTCTATGATAACAGTGATACGAAGTTAGTAATCATTTGGACAGTATAATATGCTCTCATAATGGATGAGAAACTTAAAGGAAGTTCTCAAACAGTTCTTGTATCAAAGAAAAATTCATTCCTTAATTATTGATCATGGTATTAGAACAAGAAAATGCTATTTTAAAGATGATATATTTCAAACTATATCCTCATATAATGATTCCACTCAAGCAATAGTGAAAAATTGCTAAGTAATACATAACAGATATACAAAAAAAAACTATAACACTACTTCCAGGAGTGTGTGAGAATGGAAAATACAGTGTGTCTTGACTGAATAAAAATTTGGGATAAGTAAGAAATCACTCTAAGGAAGTAAAAATTAAATAAAGGGTGCTGGAAAACTTACCAGGTTACATTCTCAATTTTATGTAGTGTGCCTCTAAATCATGGAGATGATAATTTGGAACTCAAAAAAGTTATAGGAGCTAGTACCAAGTAATTAGAAATTCTTTAGAGTATTAGCAACAGCAATGAATCAGTAATCACTCTAGCAAAGGAAACTGGAGAAAGCTTTGCCTTGTATGTTTAACAGTTGATATTTTTAACAAGGAAACAGTTCTTTAAAAAAAAAAATCTAAAAAACCAATAGGACAAACCCAGTCACCATGTAGCAGGAAATTCACAATTCATTAAACAATGGTTGTAACTCCTTACTACATAAATTATACATTAGTCATATAAATTTTGCATATGTGGTGTGGGGGGGGGCGGTGCTGGGGATCTAGCCCTGGTTCTGGAACATGCTAGGCATGTATTCTATCACTGAACTACATTCTCAGCCTGAATCTTTATTTGAAGCTTCTATATCAGTTATTCTCAAAGTTATTCTGTGGGTTGTGACCCCTTGGTGTTAAATGATCCTTTCAAAGGGGTAGAGTATTGGTGAAATTATTAAGGCCACTCCACTTTGTCAAAAGGGAGGTTTATTTTGTGGGGTAACTTACAAGTGAAGGGATAGGTAACAGGGTCTGGGAAAGGTGTAGCACAGTCCAGCGGTGTTCTCTGGAGAACTCTCCTCGGTCTACCTTCAGCATCCTGAGTCCAGGAACCAAGAGAGCTGGCCCATCAGGATCTCAGGTCTTCAGGGTCCTCTCTTGGCCCCACCTTGTAGGCGTGACAGTTACCGAAGCCTCAGTGGGGGTTGGAACTTCCAGATCAAAGCTGGAATGGCTACCCACTACATCTGAGTATCAGACATCATATATATCAGATATTTACATTACGATTCATAACAGCAAAATTACAGTTATGAAGTAGCAATGAAAATAATTTTGTGGGGGGGGGTCACCACAACATGAGGAACTGTGTTAAAGAGTCACATCATCAGGAAGGTTGAGAACCACTGCTCTGTAGGCACTGAAAGACCCTCTTTACCTATTGAGTGGAGAAAAAGAATATGTTGCCGACTTGACAAAGTGAGACGTGAGAAGCTCTCCAGAGTAAATGCATAGTACGAACCTCTCAGGATTCACTGAAGTATCAGTTAGCAGCTCAGAGTCCCAGATCTATGGGTGGTGCTCGTTTTCTTCTTACTTTTCTATCTTTTCTATCTTTAGATGGTGGCTTTATACCATTTTTATCTTTAGGGAAGTATGGCAAGTGTTACTGGAAAATGCATTTGTTTTAATAGAAAACTGACATTGGAATACAGAGTTGTTGTAGTATTTTGAACACTATTATGAGGTTCCCTACATCATTGGAGTGGTTTTCTAAGAAATTTTGTGTATGAAACTCTCCATTTGTCGAGAATCCTGGGAGAACTGACAATTCCTGTGGCCTTTCGTGTTCACCTTTACAGAGGGCTAATGGGCAGGGTGAAGGGTACACAGGAGAAACGAAGTGGCTGGCCACACGGTTGACACAGGAGTCTGGGCAGGCACAGCCCTCTTTCTCTACGGGTGGAAAACAGTAGCGGGTAGACATGGCCGAGTTCTTGCTTTCAACTTTCAGCATCAGAAGGGCATCTGAGGAAACTGGCCTAGTGAGTCCTTCTCTTGGGCAAAGATCTGCTGCGTCCTCAGCACTTTGGCTAGAATCTCATTCTTGCTGAACTGTGACTGGCCACTCCTGACTGCAGGGACCTCCATCTGCTCTGTAGCCACTTCCTCCAGGGCGAAGCGGCAGATGGGCCAGGTGGTGGCCACAGCCCTGACTCACTAAGGCAGCTTCGCCTTGATCTGGAGTGAGTCATCATGGTCGGATTAATGCATGGCTGCTTAGTCGAGTGTTTCTCCAGTGGCTGCTGTTTAACTGTTGTTGTTTATTATCATTGCAAGCCACGTTTAAAATTGTTTTTTGGTTAACATTCAGTGCAATGATTTAGTTATGATAGTCATACCCATAGATAACACATGCTTTTTTCTGGTTCACCCACAGACCTCCCTTCCTCTACATTGCCCTCTTCTTACTGGTCCCTTTCTTCCTCACAAAGTCGTCCTCTCATGTCATGCCTCTCCCATGACCCCATCTCTTCAGCCTTTCCCAACCCCGAGGCCCTTCCTTCTACCCCAGGTCACCATCCACTTTCCTACCGACACACGTATGTGAGTTTGCATCTAGATCCCACATATGGGAGAAAGAACACGTGGTATTTATCTGTTGGAGTTCTGCTTGTTTTAGTTAAGGCCTCGTTTCCTTGCAGTATTTGGCACTTAGGGCAAACCCAGATGTCTGCTGGGACTGCAGAAATGTTGCTGAGTCAATCTCCATCCCCCGCCCTAACATCCTGGTGATTGCCATTGCTCAGTCAACCAAACTGCTTTATTCACATCCCCAAACCATTGCTTGTTTAAACTTTAAATATACCACATTATGATGACATCGTTATAATAGACAAAATGATAGGTGAGTTCCGTGTCCTCCATTCATAATTTCCTACACTGACTCAGTAACACAACCAACTGTAACAGAGTTGTCATGAGGTGATGTCATCTCCAAACTCTAGTGTTTTAAGTAAATGTTTCAGTTTGTACATTGGATAAATGAAGAAACATGATGTTCACACAAAACAGTAAACAACGTATCTGAGCTATATGATGGTCCTCTTTGTTTCCATGTTCGTCTCAGAATTTACCATTTTCCCCACTGAGATCCACCTGTAGAGATCACAGTATTTCTTCCCAAACCACTAGTTACCTCTCAGAAATTTATTTTAAACTAGCCAATAATTAGAGATGGCGCTATGATGGTTCTTCTCAAAGTGTAGTCCTTGGATTAGCTCGTATCAGAATGTCAGAAGGTGAGGAAGAAGAGGTAAAGACTGGGAAGAAGTGTGGAAACAGAGGGGGAGACAGGAGACTGCTCTACTGTGTCTTCACTCCCGAAGGCAGACCTCAGTCTCACGTTATTGATGGAACTTCTGTTGACTACAGGGTAATGTGTAGCTGTAGCATTATGAAGTTAGACACAGGCCATCAGACAATGGGCAGTGAGGAAGGAGTTGTCAGACAAGAAGACAAATGTAATTGACTTTACAGTTTACCTCAGCTTGGACATCACTGACTAAACATGTAAAATACCCGCTATCACCCCCACCGTGCAGCAGTAGTTCTTGCTGTTAGGTACCCAGGCCCTTGCTGGTTCAGGGAAGCTCCCCGTGCTCTGTATACATTACTTCATTTAATCCTCTTGATACACTTGAGTCCTTATCTCTTGACAGATAGGTAAACTGAGGAAACAGCATGGAAGATAGGACCTGAACCTGGACATCTATGCCTCTGAGGTCTTTGGTAGTAGGCAGCATTATACAACAGGAATTTGTGTGAGCATGTATACTGTCAAACTGATAGGAATTCTGTGACAGCTTCTGTGCATATGGTCACTGAGGTCAAATCATTAAATCTACTAATGGACGAGTCACTCAGGGTGAGTTAGCATGAGTAGGTTATGTAAAAGAGCAGTAATGATTGGTGTCATAGAAGGAAGAACACACATTTCTAGAGAGTGAAAGGCTACTGGGCTGCTTCTCCAGTCACCCATCCATCGCATGTGCACTCGGCAACTGTCGCTGATTCTGGCTGTTGACCTATTTTAGTGGAAATGTTTCTTTGCATGAGTCTCCTCACTTTGTGATTGACTATGGTGTGCTGTGTTTTCCTTTCAAAAATCATAGCTTGGAAGTTGTTTAATCTTTATATATTTTTAGAAGCAAGTCACATTTTAGTGTGAATTTGTTTAAATTAAATTCACCCCTCCTTACTTGAATGACGTGAAATACTGATGTCCCATGTCCCGTCTTATTCTTTTTGATGTTTTATATGCTCTCCAATCAGTTGCACAGGTAACAGGTGAAGCCCAATCACCTGAACACTACCGCTCCCACACGGCAGCTGGACTTAGCACCACAGAGGACGATGGGATGACACCCACGAGAAAACTGGAGGTCAGCCTGGGTGGAGGTAAGGGTGAAGAACTGAAGTGAAGTCCTCCACAAATGCTGCTGTCTCTGCCTTTCATCTTCAAGTCCTGTTTGAGCCTTTGGTCCATTGTTTTTTATTTAATTCTCATGTAATGAATATGGAATATGATGGCAGGAAGTGACCCATAGGCCTGAAGGGGAGCTTTAAAACCGATATTAGCCATAAATGCTGTGGGTGGTTTTCTTTTTCTTTTTTTGATGTGGCCAAATGGTGGTGGCAATCTCTTTTAATTCCAGTACTAGGGAGGCAGAGGCAGGTGGATCTCTGTGAGCCAGCCTGGTCTACAGAGTGAGTTCCAGGACAGTCTCCAAAGCTACACAGAGAAACCCTGTCTTGAAAAAACAAAAATAAATAAATAAATAAATAAATAAATTGATGTTTAAGATTAAAAAAACCAAAACAAAATATACAAATAAAACAACAACAATAACAAAAACCTGGTGCTAATTTTCAGATTGGTCATATTACTTCAACTGACCAAGCAGGTGAATTTACCTTTGCTGACCGAGTAAGAGACATCAAGAGCCCCAGCACACCATATTTTACAAAGACTCATGTAAACTCAGCCCTTTTAATAATTAGGAAAGAATTTACTGTTGCCAGTGTATAATCATCTTCAGGACTGCCATCGAAACATCGAATCAGTGAATATGACTCACATACATCTGGTCAGTGTCCCATGTCTGTGATGTGGGCTTCCTCTTATGAACACTGTTTTAAGACTTTTGATTTGAATGTGTGTGAGTATGTGTGAGTACTCATTTTGCTCATCACTTTACCCCATCTCCGGTGTTAAGTAAGACTTATCAAGCTCTACCAGATAGCTTCATGGATGCTGTAGACGGCATAGGAGAGACTCCTTTCTTCTTTGGGCAGCATGAAGAGGGTCAGGGGACATTTGGAGAAGCAGTGAGTAGAGTCACAGGAGAGAAATGCTGAACTTTTGCAGTAGACTTTTCTTTAGAGAGACTCTGGTGAACCTCCCAAACACATGCTATAGCTGTTCTTTAGGTCAGACTCCAGTAAGAAAGTCTAGTTCATTGTAAGCAGTGGGACAAGAGTAGGAAGTCAGGGGCTCTTACAGCACACGCAGTGATGACAATCCACACAGCCACACATCGATGGCTGCAAGAATTCTGCCAGTCAAACATGGCTGCTACCACATTATGGATAAAAAGATGAAAGCTCAGAGGGGTGCCATTTCCTACGTTCATATAACTGGTAAAATAAGAGGGCCATGTGCACCAGGCCTGTCTGACCCCAGGCACATGCTCATTGCACAGGATGTAGTGCCCTTGTTCATGAATACTGCACACTTGCTTTAGTAAAACAGTTCCCCAAAGCTCATGAGGTTGCCATAAAAACATACACCTTTTACGTACTGCTACTTCTGAGAAAGGCTTCAATCACTGATTCTCCCTTGTTTTGGGAATGTCCTGTTTGACTTCTCTGTGCTGTGTTCATGTGACAGATCTGCTGGGTGTCATTAGCACATTCTCGCCTAGAATTTGAACAGTATATTATTACATGATGACTAGGCAATTTTATTCCCCTGTTTTCGTGAATGCTCTTTAATTAATCCATAAATTTAGAGGCCAGGTTAGAAAAACAGATGTCTTTATTGAAGTGTTTTCCACAACTGACTTCTTAATAACATTTTCGTGCAGGAATCTGAACAGCAACACATAAGAAGCAGGAACTTGACATCCAGCACGATTTCTCATTGTCCCAACATAGCTGTGTCCTAAGTCAGTCAGTCATTGTGAAGTAGAAATGGGCTGCATCTTTTTTCAGGTGAATTTGCTACGTGTCATCTGAGCAGATAGTTTGGCTCTGCATTGCCCTTCCAGAGCTCTTAAGTACAATTTTGGAAATTGCAAATTGATGCACATAAAAATACCTATAAAAGTCAACCTTAGCCTCACTGATAGACCTGGATTATTAAAATTTTACTTTTTGATTGAAGACAACAGAAATCATCTTCTAAATACATGTTTTAAGGGGAATGTCATGCCAGCTCTTATCACCTATTGCCCAAATAGTCTGTGGACTTGGCAAGAGACTGAGGTGGACAGCAAAGGGCATGTTTGAAGATGTAGTGGAGCCCTAACATTGTAGGGTATATAGAGGGGAAGGGGAAAGCTAGGAACAGAGTTTTGGTTTCTTTTAGATTGTCACTGACAGTAATAGGTAAAATAGCCAAAAGTGCAAGCAAGCCTCTGTCCAGAGGGTAAAGGCATGTATTGCCAAACCTGGTGACCTGAGTTCCATCCCTGGAATCCACGCAGTGGAGGGAGAGAACTGGCTATGAAAAGTTGTCCTCTGACCTCCACGTGTTCACTGTGATAGGCAAGTGACCACGTTCCTCAATACAACAAATAAATGCCAAAATATTTTGAGAATGCAAGTGAGCGAAGGAAATGAGGAAGATTTACTTGCTTATTGCATAACTTTACATGATAAACTGGTAGAATAATTTATTACAATTCATAGAGTCTACAAATGTATCCTTTTGTGTGTATGTATATGCGAGTCTGTCTTAGTTACTTTTTTAATGCTGTGACAAAACACCATGGCCAAGTATTAGTCAGGGTTCTCTAAGTAACAGAATTTATAGAAAGCATTTCTCTCTATATATATAGAAAAGGGATTTATTAGAATGATTTACAGGCTGTGGTCTAGCTAATCCAACACTGGCTGCCTATGAACAGAATTTCCAAGAATCCCGTAGTTGTTCAGTCTACAGGTCTCACCTGTTCTTTAGTATGTGCGAGAATCCCAAAGAAGTAGGCTCTAATGCCACTGAAGGAATGAACTTGCTAGCAAAGGTGAGAACAAACAAGAGAGAGAGAGAGAGAGAGAGAGAGAGAGAGAGGTCTTCTTTATTCCATGTCCTTGATATAGGCTGCCAGTGGAAGGTGTGGCCAGATTAAAGGTGAATTTTCTCACCTCAAAAGATCTAGATTAGAGGCTTAACTTCTCACCTCCACAATTCAGATTAGAAGTGGGTCTCCCACTTCAAACGATTCAATTAAGAAAAAAAAAAGCCCTCACAGATGTGTCTAGTCATTTGGCTTTTAGTTAATAACAGATGTAGTGAAACTGACAACCAAGAACAGACATTACACCAAGGCAACTTATAAAAGAAAATTGTTTAACTGGGCTTATGGCTTCAGAGGGTAGAGCCCATGGTGGTTCAGCAAACAGGACAGCAGGAACAGCTGAATGGTCACATCTTGATCCTGAAGGAGGAAGCAGAAAGAGAAACTGAGGATGGTATAAGTCTTTTGATGCCTCCAAGCACGTCACTAGTGGCACACCTCCTCCAACAAGGCAGCATTTTTTAATCCTTCCAAAACAGTCCCTCCAACTAGAGACCAAGTTTATATAAGCCTATAGCGGGCATTCTCATCCAAACTTCCTAGTCCACATCATAAAGCAAAATGTATTCATTCCAAATTTTAAAGTACCCATAGTCTTTTACAGTCTCCACGATATTCAAAAGTCCAAAGTCCAAGTCTCTTCAGAGACTTAAGACAATCTCTTAATTGTAACCCCCATTAAAAGCAAAACCCCAAATCAATACTTCAAATATACAGTGGCACAGAATATGTATTATCATTGCAAAATGTAGGAATGGGGCACAGTGAGGAAATAACAAAATCAAAACTCAAATTCCAAATCTTACATTTTCCTGTCTCATGTCAAAGGTTTAGATAGCTCAGCCCATTCCTGCTTTGCTGACCGCAACAGACTTCTCTCTTTTGGGCAGTTCCACTACCTACCTGTAGCTCTCGTTGGCAGACATCCCATGGCCATGGTATCACCAGCATCATCCAGGCTTCACTTTCACAACTTCCTTCAGTGATCTCCCCGTCACATGCTTGACCTCAGCAGCTCTCCTTAACTGCAGATGAAGATTCTCCAACCTCTTGACTCTGTACCCTTTATGACTCTAAAGCCAGAACCAGGTGGAAAACAGTGCCAAGTTCAGGTCTGGCTTGGATGGAGCCTGGCTTCTTCCTTGAATTCCATTTACATAAGGTTTCCTTTGTGGTTGCTTAGTGGGAGCATAAAATTCCTCAGGTATTTCTTTTTTAAAAATTAAAGGTGTATTTGGGCAGGTCTTACCCTGGTGGACCCCTCCCTTGATTTCAGTTTACATCAGGACTCTTCTTGTCTGTTTCAGCACAAGCCTTGGCTACAACACTTCCTAACCTAGTCCTCCTTCTCTCCAAACTGAACATTTCATTTTTTTTATCCTGCTTGATCCTTTTAACTGTAGCTCTGCATAAGAGTGACCAGTAATAACCACATGACAGAGCTGGTATCAGGCCGTCTTGAAATCTCCTTTGCCAATTACACTAGTCCATTGTCTTTCAATTTTGCCTCAGCCAAATTTTTAGGGCATGGGCAAAATGTAGCCACATTTTTGCTAATATATCACAAGAGTGGTCTCTAGCTCAACTGCTAATATTGTTCCAACCTGGCCCACATAGCTCTTGGCACAAATGTCTTCCATGTTCCTACTAGGTTGGCCTATTGAGTTCCATTTACAGCATACAACCACTTTCCTAGTCCAAAATCCCAAAGTCTTCCACACTTCTCCCCAAACCAGCATTGACACAGCAAAAACCTACTCCCTGTTTCTTAGTTACTTTTCATTTGCTGTGCAAGAGACAACCTGACCAAGGTAACTTATAAAAGAAAGCATTTACTAAGGCTGTTATTTCAGATGGTTAGAGTCCATGATGGCAGAGCACAGGCAGGGTGGCAAGAACAGCTGAGACCTCACATCTTGATCTGTAAGTAAGAGGCAGAGAGAGTGAACACTAAGAATAGTGTGAATCTTTTTAAATCTCCAATCCTGTCCTCCAGTGATACTCCTCTTTAACAAGGCTACACCTTCTAATCCTTCCCAAGCAATTCCAATAAGTAGTCAAACCATATGACCAAGTATTCAAATATAGGAGCTTTTGGGATTCATTCTCATTCAAATTACCATAATGTCCATGTTGGTGAGTGTGGGTGCCTATATGTGTGCTTGAGTGCCCATGTGCATATGTAGGTCAGAGGTCATCTTTGCTTGTCATTCATAATGCATTTCTCACCCTGTTTTACTTGTTGTTGTTGTTTGTTTTATTTTGAGACAGGATCTCTTACTGAACCTGGAGCTCACCAGTAAGCAAGGTTGACTGAACATCAATTCCAGGGATTCACCTATCCCCTGATTCCTAGCACTAGTTTACAGGCATGAACTACCACACCTGAGATTTTTTTTTTCTTTTTATCATGGAGTCTGGAGATGGAACTCAAGTCCTTGTAGGACATAGCATGCCTCACAGACTAAGCTATATTCCTAGCCCTGACTTTTATAAATGAAAAATATTAGAGTACTTGGGCTGAAGAGATGCCTCAGTGGGTAAAGACACTTCCTATGCAGAGTCTTGTGACCGGGTTCCACCCCTGGAACCCATGTGAGGGGAGAAGGGGAGAACTGATTCCATAGAGTTGTCCTGTGACCTCCTGGGGTGCTGTTGTGAAATGCATGCGCCAGACAGAAACACAATCATAAATAAAATAAAAATATTTAATAAAACATTAAAGTAATAAACACTATTGAGGTAGTATTTCTGAAGTTCCTACCACTCTGAGTAGAAGCCTTCAGCTGGGAAATCTAAAGAATTTTTGGGTATTTGTTGTCACATGCTTTCACATATTCTGCATGAATCATTCAGAAGGATGCAGGTCTTGGTAAAAACTGAGAACTTCAGTGGCCTTTCAAAGGCATAGCAAACCTGACAACCCAGATTTTCCAGAGTCTTGTATCAGAACTTGTGAAATACTTCCGCAGTGTCATAGGAGTGTTGTTTATGCTGGACACTATCCCACACCAGAAGGTCCTGTCTCGCTCTGTGATCCTGTTTCGCCAAAGGCAATCAGTTTCTGAGCATAGATGGCATGCAAGCTGACATGGAATACAAATTGCTGTCTTTAGTGAATACCATACCTCAGCAATAAATGTTTTTGATGACTGAATCTAATCAGAGTAACTTTCATGCTTTGGGAATGGTATATGCCATGATTGGCACCTCTAGAGCCAGGCCATGTGTCTAAAAGGCCACTGAACTAGACACACTCTTGGTGTTGTAGGGAATGATGAGTCTTAAGAGAAATAAATACTTTTGTAATTTTTTTTTCAAATCTTAGTATTTGAAATGAAACTAGTGTGTGCATGTGTGTTACATGTCAGATAATTTATTGATTGTAAAATATAAGAAGAATATTGAGGAGTGTTGTGTTTACTCATTTCAACACGCCCATCGTTCAACTTTTATATTAGCATGCCCATTAAAGTTGAAAGCATTTCTTTTCATAATGAAAGAAGGGCATTTTCCAAACATGGTCCATGCTAGTTAACAACATCGTATCAGCTGAAGGAAGGTTTGCATATAACTTCAGTGTCCCCCTGGATGACATATGGAGTCTCATAAATATCCCATAAGATTCCATATTGTATTTTCTGCTTTACACACTTTGATCAAAGTCACCTTGTTTCTCATTTTATTTTTATGGGGCCAAATGGAAATTCAGTGGTGGAGGAAAGAGCAGCCATCAGCTCAAATGAGCAGCCCGAGCAAGCTGCACAAGAGGTGTGCCCACCGGAGAAGGAAACAGCCATGGAGGAAGATGAATGTTCCCAGTCTGAGGATGCTGACACCAATGCAGGACCGAGGGAGAAAGCAGGAATGGAGGAAGACGAAGCCCACCATCCCCAGGATGCTGACATGGACATGGGGCTGAGGGAGAAAGCAGGGATTGCAGAGGTCCCCTTAGGGAAGAAGAGCCCTACAGAAGAGCAGTCGACAGAGGAAGGGGAGCGCCCGCCGAGCACAGCTAGGGAGGCAGAGACAGGCACAGAAGGCTGTGGCGGGTCTGGAGAGGAGCAGTTAAACCCCACAGGAAAAACAGCAGTGGGCGGCTCAGCGGCGTTTCTAAACGTGGAGCAAGCACTGGACAGTCAGAGGACGGTGGACCCCGACAGGCAGCGCTTGCTGCAGACAGTGATGGGGAAAGGAAGGGCAGTTTCTGGAAGGGAGCCAGTTTTGGAGAGGGCAGTGCTCACAGAGAGCCCAGAGTTCAGCTCAGAGACTCCTGGGGAATCAGCAGTTCTGAAAGAATCAGGGACTCCTGAAGTGGAGGAGGCACAGAGCCAGGCAGGCTCCCCAGGACCGGATGGGAACCAAGGCAAAGAGGGAGCTCTCACAGAGCTAGAGGACAAGGGGCCCGTGGAGGACGCAGCACCAGAGAGAGAGGATGGTTCGGAAGAGGCAGTCCTTGGAGGGGAGAAAGCAGCTATGGAGAGGAAGGGGGTTCTAGAAGGACAAGCACCCTCGAGCTCCTCAGCAGGAGAAGCAGGGGCAAGCCCCAGAGAGGCAGTCCAGGGCCACCCTGAGAAACTCTGTAAGGCAGACACACCAAGGGAGGGAGTTGTGGCTGACACGCAATCTGTCCTGGAACAGGATCCCACAGCAGTGCTCCCGGGGGAGTTCACTGCAGCTGCAGACCGGAGGAAAGTTGAGAGGCCCCCAACACCTCCCAGAGAAACTGGATCTGAAAGAGAAGAGGGGACAGGGGTCAAGGTGGTGAAGACAGAAGAGAAGTTAGAGGAGCAGAAAGCTGAAGGGGCAGAGGAGGGCACAGCGGAGGGAGTGAGGTCTGTGGAAGACGCCTATGCATCCCCCAATAAGATGGAGGCTGATCCTGAGGGTGTAAATCCCACAGGGGCGACCGAGTTGAGTGAGGACACAAGGCTTCTAGAAGAGTCACCCAAAGAAAGAACCATTGCCTTGTTTGAAGCAAAACTTCAATTTGGGAAGTTAGTGGAAGATAATGAAGCCACAGCCACAGAGCACAGAGGAGGAGGAGAAGAGCTGCCAGGCCCGGAGAGTGAGGCTCCATTGCAGCAGGGGAGGATGCCCTGCGCCCCTGGACCTGAGCCAGCAGGCAAAGCTCGGGGGCCTGAGAGTGTGTTCACAGCCAGAGGCCGAGAGAGGCCTGCCAAGGAGCTGGGCAGCCTCGAGGGACCAGAGAGACCGGGTGAAGAAGAAGGGCCTTTGCAAAGGCAGAGAAGGGACATCGTAATGACGTGTGGACATCTTCCCGCGGAAAAGCTCACCGTAACAGAGCTGTTCAGCGGAGAGGCTGAGGGCGAGAAGACACAGGAAGAGGGCGGTGAGGTCAGAAAGCACCCTCCAGGAACAGTGGCTGACAGCCTGGCAGGGCAGGACTGGGCCACGGGAGGAGGCACGGTCAAAGATGAGGAGGATGCACATGGAAGAGGAGTTGAAGAAACAGTTGCAGAGCACGGGGAGGGGCGGGCAGAGTCATTGTCCACTTCTGGGGACAGTGTGACCTCCTCCTTTGCAGATGTCCAGAAGGAAACCTGGAACGGAGCAGGCGAGGCTCCAGGAGAAACAGCAGCCGAGGACAGTGTGGCAGCTGAGGACATGACATCCAGGACAGAGAAGGTGGCCGTGGTAGAGGGAGTGGCATCAGCAGAGGCTGGGGAGGTCACACAGGAACAGAAGCCTCCTGAAGTGCAGGGCTCAGAGCCAGGGGAAGCGAAGGCCTCTCAGCATGCAGGCACGGCTGTGGAGGAGACAGGGACTAGGAGGCAGGATGAGGGGCACCAGTCAGGAGCAGCTGAGGAGTTCAGAGGACCAGTGCCTCAAGGAGAGACAGAGCTTAGCAGTTTCTAGAGGCAGCACTTCCCAGGAAGCTGGATTTTTCTGGAACCCCAGAGAAATTGCAAAGAGAAAGTTCCCTTGATCACAATGGAGTACATATATGTAATATGATGCTTAAATACCTAAGTTTTGAATAGTGGAAGTAAACTTCAAAATATATTTATTTTACATATTCTGTTGTTTCCAAGACACCATCAGGTCATTAGGGCCTAATTTCTATTATTTTGAATGATTTTTACCCATAGTGCTATCTTTTTTCCCCCAGCATATTATGGGAAAAGACTGATACAGGCACCTCACCAGTACTTTAGATTTTCTTTTAACTCGCTGTTGGCCTTCTTTGGTCTTGATCTGTAGGTGCTGGTCAGTAGGTTAGTAACCATGGTGAAATAGCTCAGGTAGATTGCTCTCACGGGAACTGTGGTCCCAAACAGAGAATGGGGGGTATTGAACATTCTACACAGCTATATTTAAATCAAAGTGATAATTTTTTAAATATTTGGCTTTTACCAAAGATTACCAGAAGGCGATCCCTGATGACTTGAATTTGTTTAAATCACTTTTTATTTGCAGTTAAATATTAGTCCCAGTTTCATGCATGGAATTGTGTCTTAATCACCTGGTCTTCAGAATGAGCTGCTCGGCCTCTTCCATGTCCACTTAAAACTGAAGATTGCCCCAAGCCTTTCCAAGTCCTTCCAGGAAAAGGATTCCATGGTGTGGAAATTCACTTTCTCTTGGAAACGTTAATTATTCCTATTTACACCTGGTGTGTGTGTGTGTGTGTGTGTAAAGTGAGAACCTTCCTGAAAGTGCCCTTTGCTTGTGTGTCTTTGTGTCCCATTTTCTCTGGTAGACTGGCAAAGTGTGACTTTCAGCATTTTGTCATTGGGAGCATTATTTATCAGATTTCTCAAATGCAAAAAACAAAAAAAAGTACTTAGTCTAGGTAACTCTGAGAAGTGTGGTTGTAATGGGAAAACTTGCTCCATCACACATACCCTGGTCCATCACAGGCACTCTGGGAAGACATGGTCCATCACACACACACTCTGGGAAGACATGGTCCATCACACACACTCTGGGAAGACATGGTCCATCACACACACTCTGGAAAGACCTGGTCCATCACACACACTCTGGGAAGACCTGGTCCATCACACACACTCTGGGAAGACATGGTCCATCACACACACTCTGGGAAGACATGGTCCATCATACACACTATGGGCAGACATAGTCCATCACACACACTCTGGGAAGACCAGGTCCATCATACATATCCTGTACCTGATGTCATCCTAAAGATATGCAGCCTGTGTTCCTTCGGGGTTCTGTTCTGAGTGACCCTACAATATGTTAGCAATCATAATCACTCTTCAGAGGGTGCCCATATACAGTTTCCTAGTTGGATACCAGCATATTGTGAGGGTCTAAGTTTTCTTGAAGACATCCACACACTATGCCCCAAAGGTCACAAGTGAGAAGATGAGAGTTTTTCCCAGGCAGCAATTCCCCAGCAGGAGGAGAATCAACCTTTCATGGGGGACTTTCACGACTGAATTCTTTCCCCATAACAAAGCTTCAGATATACTTGGTCTTAAATGAACCTATGCATAAATATTTAATTTTTTCTTGATTCTACTATGTAGCCAAAGTTGAGGACTTTTCCCCCCAGTCATCAGACAGTCATGCTGTCTGCCATCTGCTCTGTGTTGCTATTGTCAAGGTGTCCTGTTGTTACAGATGGTTTTAATTTTGATGATTGTTCAGGAGCTTCTTGATAATCAATGATGTACCAGAGTAGACATATTGGAACAGAGAGTGGACGGATCATTTTATCACGGACATTATCACCTACAGCTTGCCACCTGCCCTCTTCTCATAATTAGAAACTGCAGAGGGTGTTGGGGCAGGGGCGTGGTGGGGGGAGGGGCAGAAACTGCTGCTTTACCAAACCTTGGAGGTGATTGATTCTGAAGTGTACCAAAGCCTGAACGCTGCTCAGATGGATCACTAGTTACACCGAGGCCTCATTGTGGTTAAAAAACAGATTGCAGGAACACTGTCAAGTTCATCTTGGTCTCCTTGTCTTTTGTGACAAAGCATACAGCATGTGTGGTCATTCTAAAGGAGATGGTAATCACCATAAAAGTGATGGATCCACCCTTCAGCTCATTTCAGTATGATTGTATGGGGTGTATTTGGGACTTGCCTCTCAGTCAGCTGAATCTGACAGCAGGCTCCCTGCCCTGTGCTCTGTTCTATGGCTGGATCTCATCTCCTCCACATCCAGATCCACGGCATTACTGTGACCGATATAGGACTTCACCCAGCATTATCCGCCATACTACAGAACACTTGGAGCACAAGAACTGATGAGAAAGATTTTGCAAACTTGTTAATCATGTTGAAAAATGAGGTTTGTACAATGTGCTAAATGGAAATTGCCTTGGATTATTTTTATATTTAACACCTTCCATCGGCCCAGTCTGTAGCACAATTCTACAATCTGCATGTGGATTTAACTGTGAAATTCAGTGTTGTGATGTTTTGATTGAGTGAATTTTATCTTTGTAAATATTACAACAATAAAATTATGTTTAGTGAAACTGATTTTTCTATAGTTTCTTCATCATTAAAAAATAAATAATACATTTACAGGCTTGAGAGGAGAGTTTTCTTGGGAAAGAAGATTAGACTTTTAAGATGCTTTGTGCTATTTTCTTGCAAAACTCAAATGATATGCGCAGACAAAAGAGCCATAGCCTTAGTGGGCTCTACTTTTAAGTGTGTCTGTAGACTGCCTGCATTCATCTGCATCTTCTGTATCCCTGGGGTAATGCCAGAGAGGAGAATTCTTCCCATCACTTCATCGACAAGTGCACATGGAAGTTCAGTGTGAAGTGCCTGTCTGAATCCACAGTCAATCTCAGGTCATCTCAGTGTGAAGTGCCTGTCTAAATCCACAGTCAATCTCAGGCCATCTAACTTCTACCTTAGACTAGATTTGAAAACACTATACATTATATCTAGGAAGATTCTAGACTAGTGTACAAATTCAAATCTCCCTGTGTTTCTGGTGAAGGAGGAAACATTTTACTAACACATCTTCTAATAGTAAGATAGAATCGTGTTTCCATCCAGTGTTCAGCAGAGAACAAAGAGGCTGACTTGATTTAGATGCCAAGGAAACTTAGGAGGAGTTTGGTTTTGTGACTGAATTGTGAGGAAAGCCTTTCCCATCACTTTATAAACTTCCACAAGGTAAATTTACAGCATAGGTGAGTTCTCTACCCCCCTTATGATCAATAATTTGCCACAGTTCTTGCCCTTGGAAAATGATTGTTTGAACAAAGAAGAGAAAAATCTCAAAGGAATTTATTTAGTGGGTGAAATATTTGAACAGGCTCAAGGACAGCCCAAGAGACGCTGCTTATGACCTTGGGTAATATTTCCTCCAATCCTTCTCTACACTCAATTTTGACATAAAAAAGAAGAAATTCCTTGTCGCCGTGGTTTACAGAAGAGGTGCATGAGAATGGGGATAAATAAAGCTGGGACTCCAAACTAACCTTCAAAAACTACTCTAACTAATCTTTCCTTGGTTTTTCTTTGGTTCAATTTTCTTTCTTCCTATACACCCAATGACAGGAAAACTATGCCCTCCATAATAGCTGGAGATTCATCTTAAGAGATGAAAGTATGGGGTAGTTGATAATCACATGACTTTGATAATTCCCTCCAGATTGCTCAGACTCTTTAGCCATCTGTGTGATCCTTATACTAATTTAGAATGTGGCTGTATACCCATTTTATAAGGGAATGGGAGGTATATAGAAGATTCTGAGACAAGCTGCTATCAGGCTATCTGCTTTGCAGATGTCTCCTGGTCTTTATTTAGTGCATATGTACAATTAAAGGCATAGTAAGGACTCACACATTATGGGAGAAATCTACTAGGTTATCAGAAGTCTGGGTACTGTTGTAACACAGAGACCTTCAAGCTGCTGTGAATGTACCCACAAGGGGAGATGAATGTTTTTATGGTCTACTGTCAAGGGTAAACTGAGGTGTATGACCTCCAGAGGTATGTTTTCTTAAAATGGACCTCAGGGCTCTACACTTGCTTGACCACACAGACTGACTCTTCAAACACTTTCTATTTTACTGTGGTTGGGTGGCCATCGAATGACCCAATTTAAAGGAAGAGGTAAAAATGTGATGTAGGGGTTGAAAGGGGACTGGCTTTAATACTTGATTAACAAATGTAGCATGAATCTTAAAGAGTCTTATTAATAAAATCAAACCTGGAGCCAGGTATTGGGGCGAATGCTGGAAGACAAGACCAGAGAAGCAGAACAAGCCACAGCTACCACACCTTGCCAGTTCCTCAGCTGGTCCTGTTTCCTCAGACTGGAAGCCTCTGAGTCCTCATCCAGAATGAATCTCAGCTGAACTGCTGCTCGAAAGCCTGAAAGCTTAACCAGCCTAAATGCTTCTAGTTTCTGCTCCTCATGCCTTATATACCTTTCTGCCATCACTCCCTGGGGTTAAAGGCGTGAATCACCATGCCTGGCTGTTTCCAATGTGGCCTTGAGCTCTCAGAGATCCAGAGGGATTTCTGCCTCTGGAATGCTAGGATTAAAGGCGTGTGCTACCACTGCCTATCCTCTATGTTTAATATTGTGGCTGTTCTCTTCTATGACCCCAGATAAGTATTTTAGCATGCACAATATTTTGGGAAACACAATACAACCACAAACAAAACCTCCTGGAAGTGGGTTCCAGCTATTTGCTTCCCATAGAACTAAATGAGGACCAGACTGAACTTTCAGCTGATAATCTACTAAAATATTATTTTTTAGTATCTTATTGTGCTGTGAATTTTGTTGAATTAATCACAAGGAGCTTCTATGAAGAGCATTGCTGCACAATATAACAACTCCTTGATTCCCACCCACTTATTATGTGATATGCATAAATATTATGTTTTTACATTTATAAATGTAAAACACAAAGTGGAATAAATCTGATGCCAAATACTCCCATTCTAGCAGTAAATAATATTTGTTCACAGTCACATAAACTAATTAAAAATAGAAGTCACCATTTTCAGAGATAAATCTTTTAAGTTTTTATGTATGATGTTTATTAAAATTTATGATGGTTATATGTGGTTTTGATCGAATGTGAACTTCTAATAATCTCAATGCTACTCAATCTAGAAGAAATTTAATACAAAGAGCATTGTGGACATAGAGAATTTTTAAAATTAAATTTTAACATATATATTGGTTTAGTGGCAGAAAATATGTCAGGGTGAGCAATAAAAAAACAAAAACAAAATAGAAAGTTATACTCAGTAGCATAAAATTCTGTTCACAAAGTGGGATGGAAATATAAGTTTAGAGGAAAAATAACAACCCTTTTCTAATGTTAAAGAAAAGCTTAGTCATGTACCTTTGACCACAGATGCCTCAGGTCAGGACTCCTGGGATGTGCTTCAATGATTGTGTTTGTTGGGATAAGCTTTGGGAACAACACTGTGGGCAGTGAGGACTCTACCAGGGCTGAGAGAAAAGCTTTGATGAGGTGTAGTTGTTGGAACATCTACATATCACTCAGGGGAGCCATGGGCCATAAGGGCTGCTGGAGAGGAGGGACAGGCCTATTGATTCCCACAGCAGCACAGTCCCTCCTCACCTTGGTTATGTGTCCTCTGCATTGGAAAGCAGTTCCCATGCAGAAACTCAGGTCTTACCCTTGGCCCAGGCATTGAGTGACCAAATGTGTTCACTCCGAAGGGAACTTCATGGTAGAACCCCAAAGTACGCACTGTGTAGGTAAAACTAATATCAGTTTGTGAGATCTTGACTCCAAGACTGCATGTAGAACAGAGCCATAAGCATTTTCATCATAGAAAGTCCTATTGTATAACCTTAGAAATTATATCTATCATTTCTATTTAAATGTGTGCAGTTTTAGATGTATAATGTGTAAATGAGTACTAATGGTTCGACAATCATTTTAGAGGTCAGTGAACAAACATGTTTGGAGAGTCCTGGCATAAAAGGATGAATAGTAGACACTCTGTACTTCCTGTACCCCTGGCCTGTCATTCATTGTTGAGTGATTTGCCCAAGACTGTATAAATTCCTGGAACAGTTTTGCTCCATAGTGTTAAAGTGATACTTGATGCAAAATTAATGAGTGGACCATGAAGGTTTTTATGTAGTGTCTGCTGGGATCTAGGGAAGGAGCCATGGGCTTATCCTGTGCCCATGTGACTGACAGAGCACTTTGATACCAATTCACCATGGAGGAGCATGGCTCAGCAATGTCCCTGGAAAGGACCAGCATGTAGTCCATGTAGTCTTTCTGACATATTGCTTGCAGCACCCCATTCTTCTGATTTGGTTGAAGCAGCCTCAGGCAGCAGTAGAATGAGTTGATGTGACTCTGCTGCAATAAAACATTGTATTAAAAAATATATGAATTGGAAGACGTAGCTTGAGGACTATAGTTTGACAGCCTCTGCTGAAGTCTACAGGGTGAACAGGTCTGTGCTGTAGACTAATCTTGACTCCTCAGTTTGAATGTTAATGTTGCTATGACAAGGTCCCCGACAGGGAGCAGCTTAATAGAAGGATTGGTTTTTGTTGCTGTTGGAAGGAGGACAGTCTATCACTGTGGGGTCATGGTGGCAAAAGCATAAGGCTAATGGTCATACTGTGCCCACAGCCAGAAGCAGAAAGAAAGGAAGCTGTGTAGTCGGTTTGCTTTCTCTTTTTTATTCCATCGAAGAGGTCTAGCCCATGGAATTTAGGGTGAGTCTTCCAACCACAATTGACCTAATATAGAAAAGCTCTCACAAACATGCCCAGAGGTGGTTTCATTGGTGATTCTAGACCTGGTCAAGTCCACAATCAGATTACCACAGTAATGAAACATATTTCTTCACACAAAAGTTTGGAAAACAATCTACCTTAAAAAAATAACTAACCTTAATTTTGTGGTGAAATGATGGCTTCTAGAAACTTCCTCTCCTTTAAGAAACTGATTATAAAACCTCATCTTTGTCTGCCAGTCCTTCCCTCCCAGAAGTCTCACTTCCCATCTCCTATCAGATCCACAGGATGCAAGTACGACGTTCTGTAAAGCATTGTACGTACAGGGTGAATGCATTTCATGTATCACAGACTGACTTCCCTAGGCACCAACAACTCCATGAGAGAACTGGCCTGTCTCCATTGACACCAGACAATCCCTGTGCCAGGAAGTGTGTGGCACATGTCATGGGCTCGATAACTATGGAACAAACAGGTGAGATCACGAATGGAAATGCAGATTTTGGTAGTGTTGTTCTAGACTGTTCTGGACAGATTTCAGGATAAAAATTGATATTGGTTGGATACAGGGAGTATTTGGAGAAAATAAGTATTTTATAAAACATTAGTGTCTGCAGGGACCCTGAAGACCCAAAGTTCCATCTGTTCCACTTCAAGTATTAGACAGGGATAGCAGTGTCCGCAAGGGTTGGGGGTAGAAAATAGAGTTGAAATGCACTCATCAAGAGTTTGACAGCCATCACATCTTTTAATAAGCCAGA